GCAAGAAGGCTAAAATCCAGAAAAGTAAAGGACGCAAGTGTCACACCCCCTGTCAAAATAACCAAGAAGAAAATCATGTATGGACTCCCAAATCCAAGAAGTAAAGTGGTTCGTCTCTCTGACAAAAGAAAAGCTAGACCTGTTAGCTCCATAGATGATGATGAGGATGCTGTAAAAAGATCCAAGAGTAAGAAGAAAGCTCTGGTTATTGAAGAAGTTGACTCAGACTACGATGTCGAGCAAGATGTCCAGGACATCTCTCCTATCAAAAACTATGCAAGCAAGAAGATATCTATTAGGGTTCCTGATGCTCCACTTGAAAATATCTCCTTCCATTCTGTTGGGAATGCTGAAAAGTGAAAGTATGTGTATCAAAGAAGGATTGCCCTAGAGAGAGAATTGAGAGCTGATGCTCTAGAATGTAAAGAAATCATGGAGCTGATCTCTTATGTTGGATTGATGAAAACAGTTACCAGGTTTGCCAATTGCTATGAAACTATTGTTAAGGAGTTTATTGTTAATATTCCTGTTGATTGTGCTGACCATAAAAGTAAGGAGTATATAAAGGTTTTTGTTAGAGGAAAATCTATGGAATTTTCTCCTACCATCATAAATAAATTTCTAGATAGGTCTGAAGATGTCCGTTGTGAGCTGGAAGTTACAGACAATCAAGTGTACAGAGCCATCACTGCTAATCAAGTAAGTGAGTGGCCCATGAAAAATAAACTTCCTGTCAGCAAACTGAGTATGAAATATGTAATTTTACATAGGATTGAAGATACAAATTGGGTTCCCACTAATCACACTTCAACCATCTCCATTGGTTTAGGAAAGTTCATTTATGCTATTGGAAACCATAAACTTTTTGATTATGGGACTTACATATTTGATCAGACCATCAAACATGCAGGAACTTGTGCCATTAAGATGCCCATTGCTTTTCCTTCCCTCCTCTATGGAATTATCCTAAATCAGCATCCTGAAATCCTGTGGAAATGATGTAGTGTGCAAGAGGGAGTATGCCTTGACCCTTCATTTTAAGCTCTTTTCAGGAAAACATGTCCCATACATTGTTTTAACATCTTCACCTGCTGAAAAGACCTCCACCAAGGATGATATGATCAAAGAATTAAGAGAAGCCTGTAAGGAATTGAATGATGTGATTAGAGTTAGCTCAACAAGGAAGCTAACCTTTGAAAAGATGATCAAGGACCTGCAAAAGGATAACAACCTTGATGATACAATGAAATCTGAAGGTGAAGACTCTAGTGAGGAAGAAAGTTCTGGCTCAGACAAGTCAACTGGTCCTGATGACAGTTAGACTAATTGATGTTTATTTATATGATCCTTTTGTTTCCTTTTAGAACTTGCATGTGCTTGACATTTGAATTTTATGGTTTGTACCCTAATTATGATATTCTCTTAAATGCATCCTTATATTTGACATATTATGACTAAAAAGGGGAAGAGAAATTGAGTGAGTAACTGACTAACCACTGACCACTGACCATTAATTAAGGGGGAGCTCAATACTTGAGGGGGAGCCTCATATCTCAGAAGATATTTTGACATCTTCCATTGCTAACAGCTAACTGCTAACTGAGTTTTTGTTTTGATTGCTTGGCTTATGCTACTGCTCTGATAATGCTATGATAATATGCTCTGATAATGTTTTAGCCAAAATTTGCCAAAGGGGGAGTTTTTAAGTGTCTGTTGGCAGCATTTTTGGTAAAACAATGACTTAATAATGTTTTTCTAAATGTCTTAACATTTGGAGCAAAACTGTTTTGTATGATGTCAAAGCATATGTCTTGACATCTACCTCCTGAACTGATCTCAGTCCAACATCAGTTTAAGTTTTCTGTTTCCTGATTTCCATCACTCCATACTTCAAGATTTGTAACTCACAGGCACCAAAAAATATGGAGAAATATTTTTCAAAGTGCATGGACTTTATCTTGACCTGTTTTTATGGAAATATTCAAAAGAATTGAATGTTGGATTTTAAAGCCCAAACCCATAGCTGCACATATATAAGGATTTGCTTCCTTATTCAAACTACTGCAACTTTTGAAGAAGAATACTTTCTTTCTGTTTTAAAAGTCTAAGTCTTTTAATTGTCAAACACTCTAGTATTGATTGAATACTTGTGTTGTTATTTGGGTTATTAATTGTGTATCATTCACAAGCTTTTAAGCATTGAATGATTGAAGTGTCTTAAACTTATTATTTCTGTTAGTTTTTCACTGTAAGTGATTGAAGGAATTTGAGGAGGGCCTCATACCTAGGTGAGTCTTAGGTAGAAGTTTAGCACATATAGTGATTAATTGATTAGATCGTAATCTGGTTATTTACCGAGGGTCTATGAATTGATACTATTTAGTGAACTATTCCCTGACTTGGTAGCCCCCAGAGTAGGTGTTGTTGTACACTGAACTGGGTGAATAATCTCTTGTGCTTTTATTGCTTTTGATTTTACTGCACTTTACTTGCAAACAGATATTTATATCGTGACATCTCATTCAACATCATGTATCTGATACCAGAATTTCAGTTACATATTCATACAACAACATACAAGAGCATCATTTTCAACGCGACAAATATCAGCTGAGAAGTAGTAACACCTAAATATCTTTGCCTCAGTCAGATGGCCAACTTCACACTCAAATGGAGGTTTGTCCCCACGTGTCATGCATGAGCAAGCATGGCTGACACGATAATACCAGCCATAGAGAGACGCAACAAACATCTTAGTTTCACCAACAGTTGCACAAAATGTGACCTACATATATGGTACATAATATGCTGATAAACCAATCACATAAACAAAAAAGTTAGTAAATTAGGAAAACATGTAAAACAACGGGGTACATACATATCCAAGTTTAATGATATCAGCAATTGACATAACAACAACCTTAGAGAGTAACTTTTGAATATGAGTGACTTCATGATTCTCAGAGCTCTGTGATGAAAATTGAGAATTAATGGCTAGCTGCCCAGATACAATAATCATTGAGTCCTTATGCATGCTACACGAATAACAGATTAGGGAAATATTCAGATAACCAATTGTAGGATACATCATAAGTGATACGGGACAAAATCTACCTATCCATAAACCGTTTAATTGGTGGAAAATCAGTATCGATGCAGAGCATTGTGACATTGTAGGTGTTAGCCACCGACAACAGAAACTTTCCTACATTAATATAGACACACGTGAGTTTGAATTTACATACAATTATTCATTACACAATAACACCACAAACCAACTAACCCTGTTCCTTGACTTTTGCATACCAAAGCATAACAAAAGTCGATCCCGAATCTTCCCCCAATTCCTGGTTGAACTTCAGAATTGATCGGTATATGACTCCCATAAGATGCAATTGATAGTGTCGTTGCTAAACAAATAATACATCATCAGGATTTTAATCACGAAGGAAACATACATTCAAATTAGAGGAATTCTTGGAAGCAAATATACAAACCCGTTGTCCCTCAATACCATATTAAGCTGCTGCTTTTTGCCACCTGAATGTGTTTATGAATAACCAATACTCTCAACCATACCAATTACATTTTGGAAACTAAAAAAAAAGGAAATCAACATAAGAGCAAAATAACATATATAAAATGCAAAGGTTACAAAACAAAATACGCGAAACAAAATTCACCTATCAACACATCTTTGTTAAAGTTGCCGGTGATTATATCAACAAACTTTGTAAGCATCAATATTTTGGCCGATATCTCATCTTGTTATCATCACATACATATGTTCCTCCCGTAAACTTGATCAAAAATTTGTGCGACGAAGGTCTAAAAGCTAACACATTAGACTGAACCTTAAAATTTGATACCGTGTAAGTATGGTTCAATGCCAATTTATCATCAAACAAAGTCACATGTGCTGCTCGGACAATAACATGTATTCCCCACCGTGTGCAACACAAATACACATAAAATGTTAATGTGCAACCAAAAAACAATAAACACAACACATCATATGATTCACATATGCAGAGAAAACAAAAATTACCGTCTTGTCCACAAATATCATCTCAAAATGCCCTCTGTTGCTAGACAACACTTTTCATTTATGATGCACTCACACAAATACCTTCCACAGCTCTTTGCTATCATCGATGTAATAGATATTCACCATAGGTCTGGTCATGAACAGAGTCGCATGTAGGAACCAGAAATAACTTGAAACTTGAACCGTTGGTAGAAACAGTCAGTATAAAAGTTATAAATAATGGAATCATGATGGAGAATGAGACAGTTGAAACTAAAAACATTATAATGTTGAAAGTAATCGTGAGAAGTAGAAAGAGAATGAAGAGAAGAAATGTAACCGCTACAGAGAACATATGTAACTGCTGATAAATATTTTACTTATCAAGTAAAATATTTGCTGCATTCCCGACCTAAACCTATCCACGTGTACGATCTAAATGAGAGAAGAAAATTATAGAACTTTCTTATATTATAAATTTGATGCTTTGAAAGATCAATTAAAAAAAAGCCAAACATTATTAAGAGACCATAAAACACGAAATAATGGATTTTAAAAATTTCTAGAAATATGTTAGTCGCAAATATTTTTCTCTCTAGAAATATGTAAGAATTATTGAAGCATGCAATCTTTGACTTTGATATAAAAACATTCAATAAAAAACGAAAAGAAATTATACAAATCAATAAATCTCACATTTCATTACATAAGCAAAAGAAAGCGAAGCATTATTCTCTCATCGTCACGATCTCTCTTCCTCATTCAACCCTATCTTTCGATCTCCGTTTCCCACTCAGGTTAACCTCTCGAATCCCCTTCTCCATCATTCTCACCCATTTCTCTTCCAATCTTATAGCTTTAATCTCTATTATTGCTCTTGTTTTGAAACGGAATCGATCTATTACTCGATTTATAGTGTTGTTGATGAATTTTGATCTGTTAAAATTAGGTTTGAATTTGAGATTAAGTAATCATGTTTGGTGTTGTAAGACGAAGGGTTGCTTCTGGCGGCTCATCTTCGGTGAGGATTCAGTTTTGTTATTCTATTTGATGATGATGCAGTTTTTTGTTTTGGGTTTTGTTTGTTGTTAATCTATGGATTGTGAAGTTGTGAAGTGATTAAAGTGAAATCTAACACCTGGGTTGTGTATGCTTTCAGTTGCTGAAATTAAGGTCTGGCCCTGCTAGGGTTTCTTCCATTTTGGAAAAAGAGGTATTTTTCTGTTCCCTAATGTTTATTGTTACCTGAGTGACTATGTAGCACCGACACCTCTGAAAAAAAGGAGTGTTTGTGTCGGACACCTGCACCAACACCTGTGATTGATTATGTTTAATTTGTTTGTTTTTGGGATGTGTCTTTGATGTATATTTTGATTAAAAGTGTATCTTTGGTTTTGCGGTGATAAAAAATGATGTTGAGTGAATTGATTCCACCTAAAAATGAGTTGAAGATGAATTGATTTATGTTTGGATATTTAATTAAAAAAATGAGTTGAATGATAAATTTTGATTGTGAAAAATCAAACTAGAATAAAAAACTGTAGTCTATAGATTTAAGTTATAATCAACTTTGGAGATAAAATCAATTATACTGCAGAGAAACCAAGCATGTCAAAATGAATTCTACAGCTCTGGAATCAATTTTGCTACTGTCGTGGTTGTGTTTGATAAAAAAGAATCTTAACTTTAAGTCTTGGAAGACAACTGTCCCATGTTCCTCTGGTGCTTTTCGTTTTGCTAACTTCTTTCGAAAACAATGGCTATGTATCTGGCTTCTGGTTTTTTCTATGGTTTGAAAAGAAATTAGTCAAAAATCATTCTGTTTAATTGTTTTCTTTGGTGCTTTGAGTTTTGTCTGAGATCTCTTTGGTGATGATATTTGTGTTTTGTTCAATTTTTTATGATTTAAATGTGTTAGGGTTAGGATTTCACTTTATGCCTAATTGATTAGTAAAGCATGCTATTTGCTAATCGATATAATGCTTCTTATATGAACTGCCTACGTTTGCCATCAGACACTGCGTAGAGCCTTAGAATTCAGACTACACACATACATATTTCTTGGGATAATCTTGTTTGCTATGGAGGAATGAGGATGACCTATTACCGTTATTTTCTTAGTTTCTGTATTCTATTCTGTATATTAAATTTTGCTTTCTCTAAAAAATTTGTATTTATTAGAATGGTTAGCGTACATGCTAATGTTGTTTTAACTCTGTTTTTGTTACCTCAAGCGAGTATGTCCTAATACTTTTTTTTTCATTCTCACTTAGTGTTTTCATTGTTTTGTATGTTGGAACTTTTTAGTCAAGTCCTGGAGGGGTTCTTACAGCAATTTTTTACTATGTTTAACAGATTGCATTAAGCTCAGGAGGTTGCGGAAATGTTCGGAATTTCAGTCACATAACACCTGGTATTATTTGTGCATCTTTTTAGTTAAAATTCCCTAGCTGTACAAAGTACAAACTTCAACGATTCATGTGATCGGGCAATTTATCTCACTATCTATTTTCTGTTGCAGGAAGCTGGATTAATTCCAAACCTATAAGGTTAGTGGTTCCTTTATTAGTCATATGCTTTACCTATTGCGTTAGGATGTTTAGTTTTAATAAAAACACGTTGGCTCAAAACTAGAAAAGATATCTTTAGCAGTATTTTGTCATAGTAATATTTAAGTGGCCGAAGTCGGGAAGCATAAGATTAAGCTCTCCAAGAACTCTCTAATATTATAACTAGGTTTGGACTTTGGAGACTTCAATAGCATATGTTTTTACTAAAGTTCTAGATTGAAAATAAAATCATTTGTATACATTTCCCATTTCCTAACTAAACAGGCTATTCTGGGGAACAAACTGAAAATAACGGTAATAAAATTAGTTGATACTTGATAGAAAATGAAATAATGAAATTGCTCTCAAAACTGAGCAAACTCTAAATGTTCAGTATTTTATAAATAAAAATGAAACTCTAGATGTGTTTGAGTACTGCTCTGATAACCTTATTGCTTATGCAGGGATGTCTTTCATCAGGAGGTCTCCATTCAAACATGGAGGCGTTCATTTTCTTCGGATAATGGTGAGATATCAACATGACTGTCAGTTTTGTCATTTTAGCTACCTATATAGTTCAACTTTATCTTGTTCATAAAACATAATTGCACATGCATTGTGGTTATGGTGAGAATTTTAGCTTTTATGGAAGAGGAATGTTTCATAAAAATCTACCGCTATGATGATAGAGTATTATTGCACACATGTATTTCTGAAATTCACTTGCTGTATAACTGATTTATTGTAATTAAATTTAGAATGTATTATTTGTTCGAGAAGGTAGTGTATTTCTATCCACTGTTGTATAGAAGAATGGTAACCCTTGGGAGTCGGGTAACCAATCTGGTCATGAATTTTCAGAATTATTATCAAATTGCTTAACTACATATTACATTTGTGAAGTTATGCTCTACTCTGTGCATTTTGTCTTTTTTACAAGAATTATATGTGCAATTTTCCCCTTCTCCATATATGTCTGAAATTGTTGTATGTTCTAAAATGCAGTTTCATTTTATTAGTCAAGAGTCCAGAGTTTTGTGTATAGGACCGGATTGTCCCGTGAATGCTATTATTTGATTAGTGTAGCTTTATTCTGGCATTTATGTTGTTCAATTGACTTGTTCTGTTTATCCTTTCGATTGTTGATCTTTTTAAATATCAAATATCATTTTTATTTGTGATATAGGAGATACTGTTGATGTCGTGGTGCCTCCATTGGCTGAATCCATTGAAGATGGGACTCTTGCAAAATTTCTGAAGAGTATATTAACCAACTTCTCGTATACGTTATGTTTACTGTTACCGGTTATTTTTAGTGGTTATTGGTGATTGACTTAACATTGTTTTGATGTATGAGAGCAGGGCCTGGTGACAGGGTTGCTGTTGATGAACCAATTGCTCAAATCGAAACAGATAAGGTATTATGTTGATACAACATGAAATGTTTGTGTGAAGGATTTGGATGGTTCTATGTCAGCCCAATTTTCTTTTTTCCTAAGGAATAATAAACACTGTTTTCCTACTCCTGTATTAGGTGACAATTGACGTTTCAAGTCCTGAGTCAGGTGTTATTCTGAAGGTACTGTTTACTATGTCCAGAACATCTTTCTTGTTTTAATTAAATTTGTTCATGTGATCTATTTAATGATTTGCAGCTTCTAGCCAATGAAGGTGATACTGTTGAGCCAGGTCACAAGATAGCAATCATATCAAGATCTGCTGATGCTACTCACGTTGCGCCATCTGAGTCAGCACCTGAAAAACCTGCTCCCAAGCCAACTCCAAAAGCTAGTGAACCCGAGGAGAAGAAAGCTCCTAAAGTTGAAACTACTCCGAAAGAGAAGCCTAAAGCACCTGCTCCTCAAAACTCTCCATCTGAGCCACAACTTCCTCCTAAGGAAAGAGAAAGACGAGTAAGTCATTTTTATTTTGTGATTGTTATGGCTACTGGCTTTGTTTTGCTTAGCAACTTTTTTATTTTAATATCTTCCTTCACTATCAAAGGTTCCTATGACAAGGATTCGGAAACGGGTTGCCACACGATTGAAAGATTCCCAAAACACATATGCTATGTTGACAACCTTCAATGAAGTTGATATGTAAGTTTTGTTGACTGTCAAATTGTAGCAGAAGCTTTGAATATTGCCTCAAGCTTTAGGGTTTTTCATGTATATAACACTATTATGCATTATTTGGTGATGCGTACTTTGAATTAGAATATTGGAAACTGTGGGCTCGATCCTTGTTGTACACAACAGTCTAAAATTATTGTTACTACACTTGTAATAGTTGCCTTATAATGAATTACCATTCATTCTCTCACTGATTGCTCTGCGTTTTATGATAGGTCTAATTTAATGAAACTGCGTGCTGATTACAAGGATGCTTTTCTTGAAAAGCATGGAGTCAAATTGGGACTTATGTCTGGATTTATCAAAGTATGCTTTCAAATTTGGAATTAGAGTAAATGAGCATCCTTTCTTAAAAATACATCTTCACGTACTCACTTTGGTTTCTATGTTAGGCTGCTGTCAATGCACTTCAACATCAACCGATTATAAATGCAGTCATTGATGGGGATGATATTATATACAGAGATTATATTGATATCAGCATAGCTGTTGGAACCCCAAAGGTTTTTATGAGTCACCTCAACCTCTACTCATTTCTATGTTTTATTATGTAGAGAAATTCTTGGGTCTGGATTTCTTATACTTCTGATGAAACCTAGCCATGTCACTGACCTATGTTGATTGATGTTGTCATGGCTGGTCTGCGAAGTTTTAATGAAAGGATTGAAGGAGCTAATTAAGTATAGATTTTCTCATTTGCAATTTTTTGCTTGGCTATTATGTCATTAAACTTCAATTGCCTTTCCAGGGACTTGTTGTGCCAGTTATCCGGAATGCTGATACAATGAACTTTGCGGATATAGAAAAACAGATCAACACTTTTGCAAAGAAAGCCAATGCTGGAACTTTATCTATTGATGAGATGGCTGGAGGTACTCTAACAATATCAAATGGTGGTGTTTATGGCAGCCTTTTAAGTACCCCTATTATCAACCCTCCTCAGGTATGCATGTTCTGCTTAGGTGGCATTTATTATGGTTTTTCTTTTATTTTATATTACATTTATTGTGATTCTTAATCATTGACTGATTTCTTCATCAAAAGATATGTTTGATGACTGGAAGGAGGAACGGACATTCAGTTGTGTCGTGTATTTTTGGTGTCATGCAAACAAATGCATGTCACTAGTAGCTTGTCAAAATGAATTGTTTTCACATTATACATTCAGTAAATTTCCAAATACCTAACAAATGTTCTGCCCTTTCACTTGACATTACTTTCCTTCTTTTTAAATGATGTCAAATAATTGTTAGCAATTTTGTGCATTTTTTCCCAAAGAAAGCTCATGCAGTTGTTGTGTTTTGCAGTCGGCAATCTTGGGTATGCATTCGATCGTGAGCCGTCCAGCTGTTGTTGGAGGAGTGGTTGTTCCAAGGCCACTGATGTACATTGCTCTAACATATGACCATAGAATCATTGATGGAAGAGAGGCAGTGTTCTTTCTGCGACGCATCAAAGATACTGTGGAGGACCCTCGCAGGCTTTTGCTTGAGATATGAAGCGAATCTCAAAGTTGTTAAAAGTAAATCAAACCTCTTAAAATTCTAATACCATAATGGGCACCCTTTTGTTTGGCTCTTGAATTGCGGCGAGGTTTACAGTAATTTATGTTTATTGAGCAAGTTTTTTAGGATCAAATCTCAGTTTATCTGACATAAACTCAGCATGTTTGCACTTTCCTTTCACCTATTCCCTCAAAAAATTGGGGGTCCACAGTTTTTTGGCTCAAAGTTTAATTGTATGAAAAGATTAATAAGCATATTACGGATCCCCTGAAGTAATACTGCTGTTTAAGTTCATGGTATTTGCTACAATAGTTTTGCAATAAGAGAAATTTTTTTGAACATTTCACAATTCTCAGGTAAGGCTTTATTGTAACAAGTCTAGGGTTCTGACTCTAATTTATATAAATTTCATGTGTTGGTATGTTTTATGCAACGTGCTCCTTTCCAAAGCCTTTATCTTTTCAAGAAAACAAACCACTCAGGTGCATTTTATTGATGTTATGGTAGAAGTTAACAACCTGTTTTGCTGGTGACCACTAATATTACATCCTAGTGTAGAATCTACTTCTCATAATTATATTACAATAACATCCTTTTCAATGAGTCGTTAAATCAATTAGGGAGATTAAGAATGAAATCAATTGTGTATATTTGGATTTTTACTCCTTTTATTATAAGCAATTAAATCATTATATAAAGTATGCATTTGTTACAAGAAACTTCTTTAGCTCACCTCTCACTCATATCTCCCGCCTATTTCACTTTCTCTCACATTGCAACCTTAGTTTCCCCAAACTCACAAGTTTCCACGTTAACACTAGCCAACTTTCTTTAACCATGTTCTAAAACCATTCACCATTCCCGAAAACCAACACAAAAATGGGGTGATTGGATTGAAACATTAAAGCAGAACATTCTTTCACATGGAACCGAACATGTTTATGCGACCTCCTTTTGTCTTCTCTATACCCTTTCCCAAAAAACCCATGTTTGATTCTAGCTTTAGTACAACATTGGTCTCCAAAAACCAATACTTTTGCTTTTCTTTGGGGTGAAGCCACTATCACACTTGAAGATGTGATGATCCTCGGAGGATTTTCAGTTCTTGGTGAACCAATAACTCTTCCTCTTTCTTCTGATTTGCTTTCAGTAGAAGCTGAATTGATAGAACTTTGAAGAAGATTGTCGAAAACAAAGTCCAAAAAAGCAGATCGTAATACTTGGTTAAAGTTCCTCAAAGAGGGTTTAGAAGAAGAAGAAGAAAGTCATGTGAGCATGTGGGTTTTCTTTTTCTGTGAAGGATTTGGATTTGAAAGTTAATGGACTATTTCAGCTTTGCAACTGGTTATTTGAAAGGTTTCCAATTCTTTGTTCAAGTTGTCCTAATGAACTGAAAAAAGGTGAACCTAGAGCTGCAAGGTGGCACAAGCTTAACTCTGAATCTGATCATGCTGGTTTTGAATTCATTATGTCTGCTTTGGAATAAAAAGAGAGTTTTTGGTGGCATCCTTATGTCGATGATTTGAAAAATTGGTGCTTTGTGTCACATTACAAAGAAAATGAACAATTTGTTGATGTGGATGATGGGTCAAATTGTGATTTAGGAGAGGAATTGAGGTGTTTTGGAGTGTGTTTGTGTGCTGATGAGATTTTTGGTTTGAACTGTGTTGAGAAGTATATGCCTTATATGGTGGCAGTGCAGTTTGGAATGGATCAAGATGTTCCTCCTGCTGAATTTACTTTTATGAGTCCAAGTTGTAATGGAAATTTTAGTCTTTATGTTCCTGCTGAATGTTATAAGCCTTGTGTGTCATTGGAATATCATAATTGGTGGAAGAAATCAAAAGTGGATGATTCTGATATGTTAGATGTAGCGATTGCAAAGCAATATTGTGACGTTGAAAAGCATGCATCTATTGGTTCAAAGAGAAGATTATCAAGCAACGATGAAAGAAAGGTTAAGGAAGTGAATGGCAATAGTAGTATTGAAGTTGTTGAAGCCAAGAGATTGAAGAAGAATGAATGAACAATCTTTCAATTGTGGATTCAACAATGATGATGTTGGATGTTTTGAAGTATTGAGAAATGGAATAGGGAAAAAACAAGATCGTGTAGGAAGTTATGATAACCCTTTGGATGTTGAAGATTATGCATGCACCATTTTGGTGTTTTTTTTAAGGTAAGGTTTGATATTTTTTTAATGGCACAAACAAGGTTCTATTCTTTAATATTTAAGGGAAATTTTCATTGTAGCTTTACACTTTCTTTCGGTGTGCGAAATTTCTAAAATATATTTTATTTTTGGAGATATATCTCTAGACGGATTAAATCTCATTTTTTAATAAATTAAATTCGGAGATACATATGTAAAATCGTTTTTAAGGTGTATTCGGAGATATTTCTCTGAACATTTTGGTTTTAGAAAATTCAAAAGTAAAAATATGACAAAATCAAATTCAATTGCAAAGTAACACTAACACCAACATCAATCTCACATTAAATAAAAACATTCATTACATAAATAGTCATTAAAATAAACCGTCTCCTCTTTAGAAAAGTGCATTCAACACTTAGAATATAGTCTCCTCCTTTTTTTTCTTCCAATTATCTTTGTCTCTTCCATTTATCATCTCATATGTTCTCATCATTAAAACAAACACTCTCTTTTGTTCATTGCACTTATGATAATTATCTTCAACTTCACTTTACTTCAATTACTAACATATTTTTATTCAATTAATAAATTAGTAGTTATGAATTTGTCACATTCACACATAATCAATCACTTGTAATGGACAACCGTGATACTATGGTAGAAAGTTAGCGGAATCATGGTAGCAATAAGTTATATTAATATTTAGGTTAAATTACAATTTGGTCTCTCTATTTTGTCAGATTCACAAAATTAGTCCTCCTATTTTAAATTCAAACAGTTTTGGTCTCTTTAAATTCAAACAGTTTTAGTCTCTCTCTCATATTTTTTCATAAAAAATCGATGAATTTTTGTTTTGTTTTTTAACTCATATTTTTATTTACAAAATCTAATAATAACATATACAATGATTTGTCATGTTTTACAAGTAGTTTGTCATTTAAAAAGTGAAACTATCGTTAAATTTAAATACAAAAGTATGAGAGGGGAACTAAAATTGTTTAAATCTAAAATACAGGGATCAAAACTGTTTAAATCTAATATACATGATCAAAAATTTTTAAATTTAAAATAGGAGAATTAATTTTGTGAATTAGAAAAAATAGGAGGATCAAAAGTGTAATAAAGCCTAATATTTATTATAATTTTTATAGAAAAATATTAGCAATTACGAGTGTTTTTGTTTTTTTTTAGTTATTGATGCAAGATATGTTTTATTTTTTTAAAAAGAAAAATGCTAGATATATGTGTTTTTTAAAAAAAGGAAAAAAAATAATGAAATACTAGTGTCATAGTTTTGATCAAAAAGTATATAAATTTTTTTAAGATTCGATCTCTGTGGATACCCGTGGGGATGGGGATGAGGATGGGGGAAAATATTCCCCCGTGGAGGGGATTAGAGATAGGGATGGGGAATAAATTTAGGGGGTGAGGCGGGGATCGGGTGTAGCGGTAGAAATGTTTAAGACTAAGCCATTGGATTGACTAGATTTTATACAAATCAAAATAAAAATCGCCACCGCGCTTTATTGTTTTCAAAGGAATGGAAAAAGAGTGAATAATTCAAAAAGAGGAGGAAAGATTCAAGGTAAGGGGGGTTGGTTATGCAAAGGGAAGGTATTAGCACCCTAAACATCTACGGTACTCCACATGAGCCTCTTTGTAAAATCTGTATATTTTGGTTATAAAAAATATTGTATATATAAAAAAATGGATGGTGGAGGTGAGGAAAGAAATATATTTATTTTTATAATTTTTGCATCCGTTGCGGTTGCGAACCTTTAGTGCCTACATATCACATTTTCGTGCAATAGGGGATCAGGGTACGCGTAGTTCCTCTTTTAAAAATTTAAAACACAAATGCGTTGGTTAATTTTATGAGATGAAATACCATTGTCATTGGCCGTATGAAAAACATACCTATCCACAATCATGAGAAAGGAGAATTTGCATCATCTCAAAGTGGAGGATATGGCTTGGATTTTAAAAATCAACAATTCCTCACTCAACACTCAAGTGGAAAATATCTCTCTTTACTATATATTGTAGAAGTATAGTTGTTTGTATCACTACAAGGATTGACAAGAATTCAACCTTTTTTGAAAAAAGTTTAAAGATAAAAGCCAAAGTGACAAAATGGTTTGAAATGAGATTGATTGACTTTTAGTCTTCTCACAAAAATGTCAAAGCATTATTAAGTTTATTGGAGTTTATTTATAAAAAATGTTTTGAAAATGCATGGACATAAGTCCAAGTTTATTATGAAAGTGGTTCAAGTTCAAAAACAAGAAGAGTTTTCAAAAAGGGAAAGAAGATTTTTGAAATTAAAGAAGATGGGAGGAGAAGAAGGGACTATCCTAAAGCATAAGGTAAAAGTTAGGGATAAGAACCATCTAACCAACAAGAAACCAATACTTGACAATATGAGCCAAGATAGAATTCCCATTCCTTAGATTGAAACCAATCAAGCAAAGAAATACTAGACCTCTTGAGAGAACCAAACTTCAAGTGTATTAAGTCTTCACAAAAAATTGGGCAGAGTAACGGCTATATACGGGTGAATTACAAATTACAAACAAAGAGTGTAATCACAAAAACCTGCACACAAAAACAAACAAGCAACCCAATGTCTTGAGGTAAACCTCAAGAACTCCAGACAAAATAATCAGATAAGATCTCCAAGATAGGTCAAGGTTTCTAATCCTAAGTCCAAGAAAAGTCCCATGCTCTATAATGCCAAGGATAGTAACCAAATAGTCCAAGCACCATTAAAGATTTTTTAGCATTTATGTTGATTATTAAGTGTCTTAAGAAAGGAAAAGAAAAGCTCAAGTGAGCAAAG